TAAAGTAGACTAAACGAAACTGAAAGGCACTTAGGTGGATCTTACACTGTTGAGGCTCAGTGAACAGACAACGGCGATCGTCTGTTGCAACTATGCTCAGATAATCTTCTATTTCTGGTAAACACCAACCTTAAGAAAAAAAGAAACATTGTATGATGAAGCGACCCCCACAATCGACTCATCAATGGACTCGAATAGATCACATTGGCATTAGCCATAGTTCCAATGGCTCCATTAAAGACTGTCTCTCATTCTGGAGCACATGTTTAGACTTAGATCATCCTCTAGTTCGAGCACGCACTTGTCTGTGTCTCACTGAACGTAGAAAAATTACAGCAAGCAAACCCCTTAAAGTTAAAAATATATTTTAGGAACGACTGAAGAAGGAGTTCGTCAACCATGAAGTGATATTTACTTCAAAGTAGCGTGGCATGATATCCAAAAAGCTGTGAAAACAGCTGTGATATCTACTAGTAACTTGAAGCAAAAAGTTAAGAAAAATTAGTGGATTTCAGCTGCGTCTACAGAACTGGTAGATGTTCGGACATTCATCACATCTGACTCCGAACACGATGAGGATTGGAGGCAGCTTAAACGTAGGCTGATAAAAAACCTACATAATGATCGTGAGCAGTGGTGGGTAGAGAAAGCAGAAGAGATGGAAAAGGCAGCAGCAATAGGTAATAGTAGATAACTGTTCAGACTTATCAAGGAAACGGGTAATAAACTGTTTCAGTAAAAGACGGGACCACTATTCACTCTCAATTCATGAGACTGGACCAATGGGCAGAACACTTTAGGAGACAGTTCAACTGGCCTTAAGTCACACTTCAGTCACCCATTATCTACTTCCGAATCTTAGTGAGGTTGAAAAGGCTATCAGTAATCTAAAGCGAGGGAGTACAGCAGGGCCTGATGGATTAACCCATGAGATTTTTAAGGATGGTGGTCCAGTTTTAGCAGTAAGATTAATTGAAATCTTAGCTAAAATCTGGAAAATGGACGTGGTCTCATCTGAAATGTTTTGATCGCTGGTCGTCTCAGACTACAAGAAAGGAAAAAAAATCCTCTTGTGACAATCACAGAGGAATCAATTTAACTAATACTATGTCTAAAATATTAGCCTCAACAATACTTCGATGTCTAATTATAGTTCTTGAAAAGCGAATCTGAGAAAACCAGACTGGTCCACATCTGTACATGAATGTATAGACCAAACATTTACCCTTCAGCAGATTCTAGAACATAGACATACCTTTCGACGTCGTACTACAGTTGTATTCCTTGACATTAAGGCAGAGTTCGACTTTGTTGATCATTAGGTTCTGCACCAGTGCCCGTCATTGAAAGGCGTATCGAAGAAGCACATTAACCTTGTACAGGCTCTCTACTCGAATACTTCTGGTAGAGTCAGAGCTTATAACTAATTGTCGTCGGGATTCGTTCATCAGGGTTGCCCACTTTCTTTTTTCTTCTTTAACTTAGCCATAGACATGTTTTAAAGATAACACATTCATTGTCTGACTTTTCAGAGATTAATCTTCTACCAGGAGATTAACTTGTTGACTTAGAATACACAGACGACATAGTTGTGTTTTGTGAAGACTCTGACAAAATGCAGTTTTCTGACCACTTTAAGCAACAATGCGAGCATGTTTGGGATGAGGATTTCTGCCTCCAAATGTAAAGTGTTACTTCAGAATTGGCTTGTGTCAGTGCCTAAATTAGTGGAAGGGAGTGAAATAGTTGAACGCAACGACCGCTTCATATGTCTTAAGAGTTTCATCAGTACTGATGGTCTGGTGTCTGAAGAAATCTTGATACGGATCCAGAACACCTGATTGGCTTTTGCCAATTTACGTCATTTGTGGAGTAGGCGAGATACCTGTCTTTTAACCGAAAAGCGGGTTTACTGTGCAGTAGTTCGCTCGGTTCAACTTTATGGATGTAAAACTTGTTCATTAAGAGTAGAAGATATTCTTAGGTTACTGGTATTCTATCACAGACGTTTTCAAAGCATCGATCGCGTATTTGGGACCACGGAGTAGGCAACACCAGGGTTAGGAATCGAGTACTAGGCAAACATTGTAAATCGGTTTATGAGGTAGTGAATCTTCACCAGCTGATGTGGTTGGGACATGTGTCAAGTGTGCCTAACCAGCGCCTATCTCAACAAGCGATGTTTTCTGGTGCAGGAGCAGGATGAAAAAAACTAGTAGCAGCCAAATTAAAACATGGCATCAGTCCGTGAAGTCACTGACAACTGGACTTAGCCATATTTGTAGGTGTAGACTACCTGGTTGGGGTCCGTGTGGTTATCATAATCAATGTTTAGAGACTTTGAATGACATGGCTCAAAATCGTTTGCAATAAGTGCAGATGCATTAATTTTCTGTTGTCCCCTAGTTCCTGAGATTTTAAATTCCTCGCAAATTTTCTTTGTTTTTATTTCACTGATTAATGTTTTCTTGTCGAGTCGTATCTTCGATCTTCTTTTCTATTACCACTGCTATTGCTACTACCTCTAATATTCTGGAATTCGACCACATATCTCTGTCCTGATGGAATATGGCAACTTGGACCGATGTATATACGTACAAGTCCTACGTTGTGACTGACTGACTGACCCTGTCAGTGTCTGTATACACGCGGCCATATTGAGAGCATTTCGATAGGGAAAGAGGACCGTCCCCACTCTTGACAAAATGCAGAGTCTTCTGACCACTCTAAGCAACAATGCAAGCATGTTCGGGATGCGATTTTCCCCCTCGAAATGCAAAATGTGGCTTCAGGATTGGGTTACACCGACACCTGAACTAATGATAGGGAGTGAAGTAGTTGAGCGTGTCGATCGCTTCACTTATCTTGGAAGTCTCATCAGCCCTTGTCGTCTGGTGTGTGACGAAATCTCAGCACGAATACAGAAGGCTCGACTAGCTTTTGCCAACTTGCGTCATTTATGGCGTAGGCGAGATATCCGTCTGTCAACCAAAGAACGTGTTTACTGCGCAGCAGTTCGTTCCGTCCTACTTTATGGCAGTGAAACATGGCCGGTAAGACTAGAGGATATCCGTAGGCTATTAGTATTTGATCATAGGTGTCTTCGAAACATTGCTCGTATATCATGGGACCATCGAGTAAGTAACACAGTTGTTAGGAAACGGGTGCTAGGTAAGGATGGCAAATCAATTGATGAAAAAGTGAAACTTCATCAGTTGAGATGGCTGGGACACATGTTACGTATGCCCAACCACCGACTGCCTCGATGTGCAATGTTTTGTTGTATAGGAGTAGATTGGAAGAAAGGTAGGGGTGGCCAGACCAAAGCATGGCACAAGTCCATGAAGTCATTGACAAGTAAACTGAGCAATGTTGGTAGGTGTAGACTACCTGGTTGAGGACCGCGAGATGATAGCAACCGATGGTTAGGGATCCTGAATGACATGACTCAAAATCGTTTGCAATGGCGCAGGTGCATCCACTCTTTGTGTTCTCCCAAATTCTAATCTTCTGTATTCTTTATGTCCTTCTTCTTTTTCTCTTTCCAAATTTATTTCACTAAACTATACTCCTTGAATAACATCTTCAAACCCTAATCTTTCCGATTACTGCTTATACTTTTACTACCTCTACCACTATGAGATTTGAATCGACAACTGCATCCCTGTGTTAATGTGGTATGGCAACTCGAACTGATGTACCTACGTACAAAATCCAAGTTGTTGCTGACTGACTCGACCGTACCAGGGCATCTTGAGGGTCAGTGGACGGAAAATTAAGGGATTTCTTGATGATAAATACAAGCAAGCCAGGAAGTATTTCATTTAGTTGCAGTTATGTAATTAAAAAGGTAAAAAGCATAACAAAACAAGGATATACGATCAAAATAAAATCAAGATGATTACCTAGTTCTCAAAATCAATCGAATCCTATTGGTCAATATAACTTATTTAAATGACAAGATACACTCTGTTAACTGTTAACAAAAAATGATTCTACAAGTACTGAAAATTACATCTGCACATATGATAGCAAATCTAACACATTTTACTCTCGTACCACTTGTTTCAGTAGTCACTCTTTCAAAGATAAAATCTAATTACTAGCGATAAGCATAATATCGATATCAATCACTATCGGGTGACCAAAACGATGCAGATAAACGGGTTCAACAGTTATAAGAACCCAAATATTTTAACAATAATATGCTTAAATGCAATACTGAATTGGGGTTGAATCGAATGTTATGATAAGCATGATTTTCATCAGAATATTAAAAACTAAGTCCTGACGGTGAGTGATAACACGCATGGATATCTCAGTCCATAACGCTCTGGTAAACTTTAAAGAACAGTAATGTGGTTTAGATCAACAATTTTAAAAAATATATTAAAGAAATGCAAAATATCCGATCGTGTATCAAGTTGGATGACAAAATAATTATCATAGGTTTTTTGATAAAATCTGCTTACCTGAACTTCTTCAAAAATAAACTTAGAATACAGACTCCCAGTGAAACCGTAGACATAAATACTTGCAATACAACCAGGTTCATATAGTCCAAACAACTGATGAAAAGTAACTTGAGTAAATCAACCAAAGTATATGTTTGATTTGAATATAGATTTTATAAAACAAACTTTGAAGAGTATCTATAAAAAAGCTTCACTGAACTGATATTTATTCATTACCTGAGATGGTCAGGTTTATCTGATATAGTTATTATTCGGTCAAATAAGGAGCAACAAACCTATTTGACTTTGCATCAAACGAATGAATTAATCTGATAAGTGTGTGTTCTACTATATGAGAACCACGTCCAAACTAACAGGATGAAACTGGTTAGTACAATTTCTTAAATTACTAGGTAGATGGTGAGAACTAACAACTCTATTTAACCAGTCGTGTTCAAAAATGGTAATACGTGATAAAAAGCCAGTATCTATTAATATAAGAAATCGCCTTGAATTACACATTGAAACATTAAACAAACAGCTAACCTGTTGCTGAAAGTCTACAGTGCACAATTAAACTGTTGATCATTGTATCTAATGCAATTTCATTTGGATTAGCTTCAATCTCTTTAAGTAAATCTGTTAAAAGCATTTCACATCTAAAGCAAAACAAAATCAGAAGTAAAAGTGAGGAATTTAAACATAGTAGCACATAAAACTATCATTCAAACCCATCAAGCCACATAAAATCCATCGAATACTTTAAAGTATGTAGTGAGGAATTAAGAGTTACTAAATGCCTAGTTTTAGTAAACTTTAGAGTTTAATCAGTGTGTAAGAGCACATAAACCCCGCCAACGATACTGAATGACACACATAATAATGGTATAATCCACCTAAAGCCTCGAAATATCAGCCAAAGGATTCCAGAAAAATGATTAAAGTATAGTGAGACATCAGCAAACTTTATCTTTTTAAGTACCGTTATGTTATTTGGTTAGAGGCAGTCGGCAGAAACTACTGGACCTGGGTTTTGCACTACTTGGGACTCTTCAGCAAGGGATATCTGGAATCTTCGTAGGATTTATGTCGTGTGATCACTGACGAATGTCATGTGCCAAGTCACCAACCAGAATAATGATCCTAATTTAGTCTATTATTTACTCGATAGCTTAATCTCTGACTTGGCCAATTACACATTCAACCAGCACTAGTGACATTAAGCTAAGTCTACATTGATCTACTATTCGTAAGCTTCTCATTATATCCCCACCTTTGCGTCCAAACGTCAGCACCCAACCTCTACGATATTTATATTTTAAACAGAGGCGGTTTATATACAAACATACCGCACCAAATCATACCATGAAGTTAAAAATAACAAATATACATGAACAAGCCAAAAGTGACTGTGAATAGACTGTGAGTAATGGACTAGAAAAAAGTCTTGAAAAAAAGTAAACCGTACAACAGTAGTTAACGTATAAACCAAAAGCTTATGATAAGTGGAATATGCATACGTAGTAATTGAATTAATCAGTAACTATACGACAAAATTATAATTAATAAGTTTGAAAAACTAGTCCCAACGTCTGCAATATTTGTTCCGTTATAACATGTAGAACCTGAACCATGTGTCACAGTCACAAAAGTTACCACTAGGTTATTCGGACCAGGATAGACCTCTTGCAGGACTAAAAAATTTACACTAACCAATTTCATCGAATATTAAGCAATATTTACCTCAATTTCGAGTCAATCTGATTAGTGACCAAACTGCAAACCAACAGCTAGAATTTTCTATTCTCTAAGGACTAAACAACATGAAACTGGCCACTATCTACTGATCAATTGGTGCAAATAATATCGACTAGTAGTGAAAACAACTTGGGAATTATTCAAGTACTAAAACCCAGCTTAAATGTAAATGAATTGGTACAAAAGACAAAATATGAAAAAAAGACTATTAAAATGCATCTTAGGGTCAAACACTATACGAGCATGGTTGACGTTAAATAGAAACAAAAAAGTACAGAATAATACAAGTTACTAGATGAAATAATTTTGCCAACAGAATATCTACAGCTTCGTCGAACTATGTAGTTAGACAGGAATTATACTCGATAACATGGAAGGATTATTTAGCATTATATTACATAGAATGAGCATTATTTTGTTCACATTTTTCAAGTTAGGTTCTACGCTCAAATATTCAATGGTGATTCAACTAGTACAGATTCACTTTGCATCTAAACGGAAGAAATTCACATTCTATCAATCGAAAATACCCTCTACCCTAAACTAAACACACTTTAATAACGTATTTACAAATACACTTTAGAAAACACTGTGTTGGTAACAGCGATAACTGATCTGATGATTGTGAATAAGAAAAAGCTATTTTGTATTCAACAGTAATAGGACATTTTGTTGATTAATACAAACACAAGTCATACTTAAAGTACTTTTGCCCCCAAATGCCCTATTACAGCCGAGAGTGGGGAAAGTCCGCTCTCCCTCTCGAAATACCCTCACATGGCCACGCGTATATAGCATCTGCCAGGGAAGTTCTATTCACTGCCTTTTCGTGGTGGGGGTGTTGTCTACTAAATTGAGAGGACGAAAAGCGGAACTCCGGCGCTTTGATCGGATTGGTGGACACGGAGGGTTTACCTAGGGGAGTTGGAGAACCCTGATCCAAAACCAATGGTGCACATGGGCTTCAGTATCCTGAAGGAACAAATGGCGTATGAACCAATCTTTGGTCACCGGCTACCGCGGAACTGCATCTCCCCAGATCGCTCCACTGCCTTGCGGATCGGACCTTTAGGTCGAAGGCTCGGGGTGTGGACCCTAAGAAAACCACCTGCTTCGGTCTGGGCAACCGGACAGTATCATAGCCCGCACGTAATTAAAATGAAATGACAATGATTATTTGATATACTGCTCAAACTCCTATTATTATTCAAACAGCACATACATATTTGATAACATTCACTTTTTTTTTTTTTTTTTTGAACCACGTCACTTATTCACTCTCTTTTATACTCACTCTGTGTATCCTTATTTTTCAACTTATACAACAGCTCGCCTGTATTCAACACTGGTGAAGTACTACAAATTCGCTCTCCATCTATCGCTTCGAAAAGCTTGTTTTACGTGCGCTTATCCGGGGACCCTGTGGCATCTTCGTCTGGTCTTGCTGGCGTTGGTGTCGCACTAAGCGCTAGAGCTAAGGCAGCACTAATCGATTGGATCCCCATTAACAGTCGGTTATGTGCTGTTAGATTAGAAAGTTCCATCAAAGTGAGAAGAAATCGGCGTGAGAAACGATGTCTTTTCGTCATCTCCGCCTATGCCCCGACAGATTGCAGCCCGGATGCAATCAAGGATGAGTTTTACCACCAGTTATCTGTTCTTCTCCAGAAAGTGCGTTCGACAGATATTGCAGTACTAGCCGGAGACTTGAATGCTCAGGTCGGGCGTCTAGGCACAGAAGAGAGTCGTTTAGGTGGCCGATGGGGACTCGTTGGTCGCAGGTCAGACAACGGGGACCGTCTACTGCAACTGTGCACAGACCACAACCTGTTTCTGGCTAGCACTAACTTTCGGCACAGTCATCGCCGATGTGCCACCTGGCGTCCTCCCTCTGCATCTCAAGCCTTGACTCAGATTGATCGCATCGCGATCAGCTACCGCTGGTGTAGTTGTGTACAGGACTGCCGCTCCTTTTGGAGTACCTATCTGGACTCTGATCATGCCCTAGTCTGCGCCAATCTTGCCTTACTTTTCAGTGGACAACGAAGTGACCGCCATCAACGGATTGATATTAGCAAGCTGGTTGCAGCTTCTGTTGCAAGTAAGTATCGATCCGAGCTAGCCTCTAGGCTGGCTACCATTCCACCGAAAAGTATAGATGAGCATTGGTTGCAGCTGCATGACGCCATGAAAATGGCGGGAACAGTCAGTTGTGGGTTTGCGAGACGTCCCGCTTTTAAGCACTGGGTTTCTTCTGGTTCCTTACAACTCATTGAAGCCCGTCGGTCTACTCCGGGTGACCGTGAGTTTGACCATAAACGAAGGATGTTACGTAAGGAAATTGGGCAAAGCTTGCGTAAGGACCGAGAAGCCTGGTGGTCGAAGCGTGCTAATGAGCTGGAAGCAGCAGCTGCATCTGGTAACTACCGGAAGCTCTTCCAAGTCATCCGAGCCACTGGCAGCAAGAAGTCTGGTGTGAGTGAAACAATCTGCGAGGATGATGGGATGCCAATCATTAACATCCATCGACGTTATGGACGATGGGCAGAATTTTTCGAAGGGCTGTTCAACTGGCCCGCTGCTCCGGAAACATCGGTCAGACTGTCCTGCCCTCCATGGCCGGTGACGACTGATCCACCAAATGAGGAGGAAGTCCGCAAGGAACTCCAACTCTTGAAGCGTTACAAATCACCGGGCCCAGATGACTTACTTCCAGCTCTTTTTAAAGATGGTGGTGACTTTCTGGTTAAGGAACTGACGTTTTTTTTTACAAAGTTCTGGGGGCTAGAGAGTGTTTCAACATCATGGAATGAGTCGATAGTTGTCCCTATCTTTAAAAAGGGTTCACGTTGTTTCTATAACAACTATCGTAGGATAAGTCTACTTCCGATTGCGTCCAAGCTATTGGCTTCCGTCATACTTCGTAGGTTGTTTAAAAGCCGAGAAAGATTGACTCGCGAGGAGCAGGATGGTTTTCTTTCTGGTCGAGGATGTATTGATCATATCTTTACCCTCCGCCAAATGTTAGAACACCGCCATACTTATCAAAGGCCAACAATCTTAGTGTTTCTTGACATCAGGGCTGCCTTCGATTCGTTGGACAGGACTGTTCTCTGGGATTGCCTATTGAAGAAGGGTGTGCCTGAGAAGTTTATCAACATCCTAAAAGCCCTATATAAAAACACCTCAGGCAGAGTGAGGGCATACAACCACCTCTCTCCATTGTTCCATTCGAGCAGTGGGGTTAGGCAGGGTTGCCCAATCTCACCATTCCTCTTCAACTTTGCCATCGATGACATTCTGGAAACAGCTCTGATGGATGTAAGTAACGGTGGTGTGGATCTGTTGCCTGGAGAAAGACTTCTCGACCTTGAGTATGCGGACGATATTGTCTTACTGTGCGATAATGCCCAAGGCATGCAATCCGCACTTAACCAGTTGGCAATCAGTGTCCGTAGGTATGGTATGTGCTTTGCATCTTCGAAGTGCAAAGTACTTCTACAAGACTGGCAGGACTCCAATCCTGTACTCACCCTGGATGGTGAGCAGATAGAAATAGTCGAGAAGTTCGTGTATCTAGGTAGCTGCATAAGTGCTGGTGGTGGCGTGAGTGATGAGATCAATGCATGTATAGTGAAAGCCAGGGCAACTTAAGCCAATCTGGGCCATCTTTGACGCCTTCGTGATGTTAGTCTGGCTGTAAAAGGTCGGATCTACAACGCGTCGGTGAGATCAGTTTTGCTCTATACTTGTGAAACCTGGCCTCCTCGAGTTGAGGATGTTAGACGACTCTCTGTGTTCGATCATCGTTGTCTCTGAAGGATTGTTGGCATCCAGTGGCAACACCATGTTAGAAATACAGAGGTTCGGCATTACTGAAATACAACTAAGCGCATAATTCGAGTAGTTTAAAAAAGATCATATGTCTGTGGGAACTTATTCGCGAAAAGTATCTCCAAACTCATAGAAACCCACACTTCGCAAACAATGGGATATAAACTGCCAATAAACCGACCTTTTGAGAACTGGATTAGATTCACTTACCTACAAGTTGTAATCGAAAATATCGCAAATCTGAATGAGGTAGGTCTGATTCCACGGAAAATTATCTCTCATTCTTGTTCAAACTATACTTTTATAGTAGGCAAGGTTGAGATCTATGTCTAGAGCTATACGTCCTGTTACTGATCATCCAACTTTGAATACTATACGACACACAAAGCTCTAATCACTTGGCTTGGTAGTTACATTGCAAACTCGGTCAGCACTGAAGATCTGATAGTATTTGTAACTCACTTGGATCATATTTGCTTAGAATGCCTATTTTTTCAGTACAGTTCAAATTAAGAATTTTCGAAATCCCACTTTAAAACAGGTAAAAGTAAAAACACTTGTTTAAAACATAAAACAACAATCATTCTTACTGTCTTCGTAAATCCGGATTCGGATCGCCAAGTATACGGAAAAGTCCATCCAATAATTGCGGCAAGTAAACAGAAATTTTTAGTCCAGGTATAGCATATAAGGTAGTGATCTGATTAATAGAAAGGTTATCAATAAATCACGTTAATATTACTGGGTTTCTTTCAGTTTTAATAAACCAGTCTCTTAACACCTAACATGTATTAAAGTATAAAAACAGAAATTATTCACTCAATCATGTACTGGCTTTTGCTTGACATAAAACTTTGCTAACGAAAAGTAAACCTGTATTTTAACCCGCAGTATCATAAGTATTAAGGGTTTAAATTGGTTAACAAGGTGAAATATGCGTAGAATTTAAAAAAACTATATTCGCTGAAAAATTCCCATTATATTAAAAACACAATTGTATGAACGAAGAATATTTTATTTATATAACAAACAATTCCTGATTCACATATTACAATTTCCAAATGATGTATTTTGCCTTAAATCTGGCCAATTTTATGGATTATTAATCTGGACTTATAATTGTAGAACCTGATGAGAAATTATTGAAAACTATATTCGTAAAATTAGCTGGCAGATTCAAGATGCTAATGGATTCGACACACTTAAAGTAAATACAACTGTTATCATAACCCATATGAAATAATAACTAAGCAATGATATGCTTAGAAATGACTTGTACTACACTATCATGTTATAAAACTGAAGTTAAGAATTTCCGAAATATCTCTACAATGAGTAGAAATTCATCCTATCTAGTGATGATGACAAACTAATTTATGGATAAAGTGAAGAGACAGTCATAATTTAGTAAAAATCAAGGGGCGTTCACATGTCATCAATATCTCAGTGGGAAAGTATATCGCAGTTTGATCATCTTCCAAAGATGTTTGCTAATTCAAGTATACAAAGGACTACTTAGCATTCTATATGTTGTTTTTCAGCAATCGGACACGAAATAATATCGGCAAAGTTATTATTCGTGAGCAAAAGAGGTTAAGAGTCCTTGTTCGCCCTTCAAACAACTATTATTACAAAAATAAATGATCCCCTGGGCAGTTTGAAACGTTTTGGTGATTTACAGAGACATTAGATTTTACTTTTCTCAATTTCGTTTATATCTTATCTGTAATTATTTAGCTTTTTGTTATCACTGCACTTAAAAAACCAAAAAAAATCTGATGAAAATTTGGAAATTATGGCCGAAGCACCCAAAAAAGACGATGTTGTATGTGTTAACTTATACTATGTGCTAATTGACTACCAATGCTTAAACGTGAAAATGTATCGAAACGATCAGTTCTTTAAATTATACAAAAGTTACCAAACTACACTTCTAACATCTTTTTTGACCAGCTGAAGATCTGTCAATCGATGTGCTATAAATACAATATTGGATACTGGCCCACTTTATAATAACGGAAACTTGCATGGAAGTATTACTGAAGTTCATTACCCTTAAGTGATAGTTTAGTGTAGCTTCGAAAGGGCTAAAAGTTTATTCGTAATTCCAGTTCGAATTTCGCTTTTTAAGACTATGCTTAGGTAAGGATATGAAAAATTCGTAGATAGGAATGGACTACTTATGTAAGCTAAAATATGAGTACGTTCGGAGACACCGTGCTATCAGACCTGTCCACCAGTACAGCTCATGAGGTTATTGGAACCAGAAAACATAGAATTAGTGAACATAATAAGTGTCTTGGGACATGGGCGATATAATACACATCAAACTATCGGTGTGAATTCCTTCACTCCTTAAATAAGGTTTTAGGAAGATTTTTTAATTCCGCTCCTATACCTGTTTTTTCTCCTGAAATCATATCTGCTGAATGACATGACACTTTATATGGATGTAAGATTTTGCTATATTTCATGTTGTTCTTCTATCAGTGTAATCTAGTGGGTAATAATTCAAATACAAGAACAGCCATGATAAACCCAAAAAGCTGATGGCTTAAGGACTGCCCATACCTAGTGAACTTAGTAAGTAAGGAAGAAAATTGCTTTTGAAGATAACCAATACACCATATGACTTACCCAAGAAACAATAAACTGACGAGTATACGGATTGTTCGTGTAAATACGTTCTTTCAGTAATAAGACAATATCTGTTAAGTCACAAACTTCAGTCTCCATGATAATTTCCTTTAAAAGTCTATCACATTGTAAGGCTGAGGGACGAACAGAGGAGTCAGAGTCCGATACACCCTAAATAAAACAAGACTGGAAATGATATTACCTGAATCCAATTAATAATATAAAATAACTACCGAAACATAAAATTAGTATTTTCAACCAGTTACCACAAAACAAAAGTTGGATCAGCCGCATTTAAGATTATAGAAACTATATATTGTTAATTTAAAATTCAGTAAAATGCACATTGTTATATCTGGCTACTTAAACCACTCAGTCACAACGTAGGACTTGTACGTATATATATCGGTCCAAGTTGCCATATTCCATCAGGACAGAGATATGTGGTCGAATTCCAGAATATTAGAGGTAGTAGCAATAGCAGTGGTAATAGAAAAGAAGATCGAAGATACGACTCGACAAGAAAACATAAATCAGTGAAATAAAAACAAAGAAAATTTGCGAGGAATTTAAAATCTCAGGAACTAGGGGACAACAGAAAATTAATGCATCTGCACTTATTGCAAACGATTTTGAGCCATGTCATTCAAAGTCTCTAAACATTGATTATGATAACCACACGGACCCCAACCAGGTAGTCTACACCTACAAATATGGCTAAGTCCAGTTTTCAGTGACTGCACGGACCCCGACCGTTGTTGCTACCTTAACGTGGTGTTCGGGCTTGCCCATCGTGATGAAGCAACCGAGCTATACTTGCTGGAACAATCGTTTCTCAAAGTTCTACTATGCCAGGTAGGTCGGTTGAAGAACGGTAAAAACAAAAGTAACAAACCCAAAGTCCAAAGGCGAAGTCGTTTTAATTATTTATTTATTTATTTATTTATTTATTTATTTATTTATTTATTTATTTGAACACATGAATATTGGTACAAAAGAGCGCCAATATATATGCGCCACACAAAACAATGAAAATTCGAAGAGAAATAGAAAAAAAACTAAGGAGCGCAAAAGAAAAAGAGAACAATAACGAAGAGATTGGTGTAAGGTAGTGTGGTAGTAACGATGGAACGGAAAGGTACAATCAGAAGAAATCTTTCAGGTAAGGGAGACACAACCACTTTTAATGAAGAAAGTAAAACAAGGTTACAGCAGGATCGCCGCTGGCTTCTATTCTGAGCCATATCTGATAACGTCTCTAGCCACTGTGTAGCACCATCTCTCAGACCCCAACCAGGGAGTCGTGAAGGACCGACAGAAGCCAGTCCTTTGGAGCTTTCTCTCATACCACGACACCATGTCATGCAGTGACCACCTCTCCGCTTTTTCCAACCAGTCCCAGAGTCGGTAAATAATGCACGACGTGGAATTCTCTGGGACGACATTCGGAGAACATGTCCAAGCCACCGAAGTCGGTGTTTCAAGATGGTGACACCAATTGAATTATCATCTCTGTGCCCGAACACACGATGCCGAACCTCTGCATTACTGACATGGTGTTGCCACTGAATGTCAGCAATCCTTCAGAGACAACGATGATCGAACACAGAGAGTCGTCTAACATCCTCAACTCGAGGAGGCCAGGTTTCACAAGTATAGAGCAAAACTGATCTCACCGACGCGTTGTAGATCCGACCTTTTACAGCCAGACTAACATCACGAAGGCGTCAAAGATGGCCCAGATTGGCTTAAGTTGCCCTGGCTTTCACTATACATGCATTGATCTCATCACTCACGCCACCACCAGCACTTATGCAGCTACCTAGATACACGAACTTCTCGACTATTTCTATCTGCTCACCATCCAGGGTGAGTACAGGATTGGAGTCCTGCCAGCCTTGTAGAAGTACTTTGCACTTCGAAGATGCAAAGCACATACCATACCTACGGACACTGATTGCCAACTGGTTAAGTGCGGATTGCATGCCTTGGGCATTATCGCACAGTAAGACAATATCGTCCGCATACTCAAGGTCGAGAAGTCTTTCTCCAGGCAACAGATCCACACCACCGTTACTTACATCCATCAGAGCTGTTTCCAGAATGTCATCGATGGCAAAGTTGAAGAGGAATGGTGAGATTGGGCAACCCTGCCTAACCCCACTGCTCGAATGGAACAATAGAGAGAGGTGGTTGTATGCCCTCACTCTGCCTGAGGTGTTTTTATATAGAAAAGTAATTTCCATAGACATAAAGAGTTCATTATTTTTGTGTGGGCTGTGATACTGCCCGTGTGCCCAAACCGAAGCAGGTGGTTATCTTAGGGGGCCACACCCCGAGCCTTTGACCTAAAGGTCTAACCCACAAGTCAGTGGAGCATCGTAAGGAGATGCAATCCTATGATAGCCGGTGACCAACGATTGGTTCATACGCCATTTGTTCCCTCAGGATACTGGAGCCCATGTGCACCATTGGTTTGGAATCCGGTTAGAGCGCCGGACATTCGCTTTTCGTCCTCCTATTTTCGTAAACAACACCCCAGCCACGAGAAGGCAATGAGTAGGACTTCCCTGGCAGAGGCTGTATACGCGTGGCCGTGTGAGAGTATTTCGAGAGGGAGAGCGGACTCTCCCCACTCTCGGCCGTACCAGGGCATTCGGGGTCGATGAATGTACAGAGGTGTGACAGCAGTAAGGTGTTTCCTTCAGATAACCAGCATAACAGCGATGCTCCCTTCTCACAAGAAGGGGTGGGGTTAGAAAAGGTCGACCCTAAAAATGAACACCTCGCCTTATCCCACGAATTTCCGTCTCCGGTGTGTTAGCGGGACATAGACTGGATTAAAGCATGCTCAATGCACGATTGCTTTGCTGCACGCTGATTGGCTAATTCTCATCCAATCAGCACTAGTCGATACTTAGAGAATACTCTGGAATCTTCTCATGTAAAAACTATAAATATACTAACGCTTTCCCTATTGTGCTTCTTACTTCCATCTAACCTTGTTATTTGGAATATAACCTCTTTCCTGTTCAACCGTGTTCTGATTTGGTGACTTGTTGAGTGAATCGGTGTCCGAGAATACTAAGCAATAGGAATAGCTGGGTCATAACCGTAAGAGAAAAATATAACACGGTGATAATGTCTCAATAAGTACCGAACTAGCACAAAAAACCGTGTGTGACCAGCCCCAAACAGTTGTCCCTTGGGCACTGCGGTCACGCTCTCAGGTCACTATGACCACCTCTAACACAACTCCCTTTTCAGGTACCTCCAGATGAACCCTTACAGAGTGTGAGCAACCGGAAGTGATAACCGCCCTCATACCTCTAACAGAACTCAAGATCACTGTATTCATAATCAATCTAAACGTTCAGACATAGTACTCGTACAATGTGACTTCAATGCCCAGATAGGTAGCACAAACCAAAAAGAAAAACATTTAGGTGGGTATTTTGATACTCCGGCTCAGGGAACAGATAATGGTGATCATCTGCTGCAACTGTGCTCAGATAATCGTTTATTACTAACAAACACGAATTTCAAGCATAAAGAGAGACATCGTCTAACATGGCGACCCCCTACACCAAATCAACGATGGACTTAAATAGACCATACTGCCATCAGTCATCGTTGCAGAAGCTCGATAGAAGACTGCCACCAGTTCAAGAGTATATGTTTGGACTCGGATCATGCTCTAATACGAGCACGCATCTGCTTGCACATCACTGGACCCAGAGAAACCACATTAAGAATACCCATTAGAGTCAAACTCAGTGACAAGGAAGCCAAAAGTAGATTTCAGGAACAACTAAGGTCACACTTAGGTAGTTCTGAAAACGAGGCTGACCCAGATGTTGCTTGGAAAGACACACGGACAACTGTGGAAACAGCAACGACATCTATTAGTGATTCAAACCAAAGGGTTACGAAATATCAATGGATTTCTACCAAGTCTACTGCATTGACAGATTCTCGTAAACTCATCCCATCAGGCCCCGAACACGATGAAGGGCGAAAACAAATCACATCTAGGTTAACCAAAGTGGACTGGCGGGTATAGGTATAGCACTACGATGGGCGGAACAATCTAAGGAGCAGTTCAGTTAAACTTCAGCTACTCTACAACTACCCACCGTTCCCAGACAGTGTGAATGGAACATTGAAGTAGGTCTCCCAAATCTAGCTGAAGTTCAAAAGGCTATAGTTAATCTGAAACGAGGAAGGGCAGCTGGTCCAGATGGATTGGCTCCAGAGGTCTTTAAGTACGGTGGTCCAGTTTTGGTGATTAAGTTGACCAATATTTTAGCTAAAATCTGGGGGTTGGACGTTATCCCATTTGACTGGTTACAATCACTGATCGTCCCAATATATAAGAGAGGGTTAAAATCATCCTGTGACAACCATAGAAGGATTAGTATGACTAACATAACATCTAAAATACTAGCGTCGATAATTGTCGGTCGCCTAACTAAGACTCGTGAACTGCAGACACGAGAAAATCAGGCTGGCTTCAGACCTGGTCGTGGCTGCATCGACCACATGTTCACCATTCGTCAGGTTCTAGAACACAGACAGTGTCTGTCATTGAAAGACATACCTCAGAAGTACATAAACCTTGTGAAGGGTCTTTACTCGAACACTACTAGTCGAGTTAGAGCTTATGGCAGACTGTCATCTGCTTTCGCAACCTCAAGTGGTGTCCGTCAAGGCTGTTCACTTTCTCCATTTTTGTTTAACTTCATCATAGACCTACTGATGGAAATAACGTTCTCGTCGACTGAATTTTTGGGAATTGATCTCCTACCAGGAGGTCAACTTATCGACTTAAAATACTCAAATGGCATAGTCCTGTTTGGTTAAAACGCTGATCAAATACAGTCTTTTGGTAGCACTGAGCAACTCTATACCAGAATGTTTGGAATGCGTTCCTCCACCTCTAAATACAAGTTGTTGCTTCAGGACTGGCCTGCATCAACACCTGAACTAAGGATAGGGAGTGAAGTTGTCGTTTGGCTTTCGCCAACTTACGTCACCTATGGCGAAGGCGAGATACCCGTCTATTAATTAAGGGACCAGTATACTTCGCGGCAGTTTGTTCCGTTCTACTTTACGGCTGCGAAATGTGGAAATTAAGAGTAGAAGATCCTCGTAAGCTACTAGTATTTGACCACAGATGCCTTAGAAAAACTGCTCGTATATGCTAGGACCACTGGGTAAGTAATAGTGAAGTTAGACACAGGGTATCAGGGAATGGTTAATCAAATATTCCAGAATAGGTAGTTGATCAACAACACTAAGCTTTTATTTCCACTGACGTGATACCTGAACTACATACAGTCTCGTATAAAAATCTTACTCTATCTACAAATGTATTTGAGAAAAGAAAAAAAGTATGATACATATATGTACAGAAAAAAGCGAGACGTACTCTTAGTTATCAGGAAAGCAATATCAATATTTTGAATTAACCTGACTCACTCGACTAATGGCATCAAGCACATCGCTCAAATAATTTAACGTCTCTTTCCTAGTTATTTTCATCACATTGAAAAGGGCTTCACATGCATAATGTCGCACGCGTGGGTCGTTATCATGGAATGTGCGAATTATAGGTAAAATTATTGGTCCATGAAAAAAACGTGCGTCCTAAATAGGTTACAATATCCAGTAACATACAACTGGGTTACCTCATTTAATCCGATTGCTACAGAAGCTAGACCAAATAAACCACCTTTTCGAGTATGAGGGTTGGCAGACTGAATAAAGTCCTGGCTGAAGTATCCAATGATTCGAGAAATATCTGAAAGCTTATCCTGACTAATATAATCCTTGACAACTCTATGTTCACTGTCAGTACGCAATACGAATTACCTTTCGATTTCTTGAGATGCTAATTTGCGTTTATCAAAAAGCTTATCCACAAGGTTCTTTATACAGCTGGACGAAAGTGGGGCATAATCGCGATCCATGGTTGTAGTACCTACAGAAGAAAATGTGGTGGGACTATAATTTATGGACGACCTTTGAGCAACGTTAGAATGACCTTGAAAATGTCCACCTACTTACCAGGGTTAAATGAGGGTTATATATTTGTGTGAGGAATTAAGAGTAGGATTTAAAGTTGGATGTAAGGGTTAGGAATTCGATTTAATGCTTTTATCACGGACCGACATCAGCTATAATAGTATTTGGCCAAATGAGTAAATGAATTCCGCTCCAAAATCCAAGATCCGCTATCTTGAATTTGATTGGTACGTTCATAAATTAGTCTCGCCTAAAAAATTTAAAACACCCGAAACCGAAATATATGTATAGTTAGAGGAAGGAACAATGTTTACAGAAGCTAATAAACAAAAAGATGAGAAACAATAACTAAAATTAGTACTAATTCATTATGCATATTAGTACTAATATGCATAATGAGTAGTTATCATACGTGCAATAACTATTTATACAAAATTGCCATCTTCGACTGAAAACCTAAGTGCAAAAACTTTACAACCTTCTGAACAAGTGAATAACATTGTTTTTTATTGTATGTAAACACTAGCAGTTAATTAACTCGCTCCTGACCTATTGTTCAGTTGCTTTTAAAAGTTAAGTGAGTTTAGGGAAATTAAACGGAAAGCAGATATCAAGGCGAAAACACAGAATTTATTTATGTACTAAAAATAGCTACAGGAGTAAAGTATATAGATAGACCAATCAGATTTCCGATCGGAATTTGTTCTTACACTATAGCTAATGTTACGTCATGATGAGAACCACAATCCCGATCTCCATATTATGTAGAAATTTTGGCAAAAAACGCAAAAGTCTGTATTGCACTGTTCTTTGGATGAAATTGCAATTAATATATATGATTTTTGGATATTATCATGAACTTCAGTTACGAGTACATTGCCGATGTTGAGGTTTTGTTTTAGTATGCCAAACGGACACGAAAATTGTCGGCTCCACGCTACTTTTTTAAAACTCTCACTCCATGCATGTGAGTTATTTATACTGTCCAAACCTTCGATCGATACACATGTTCAGTCTGACTGCAGCTAATTGTTTCTTTTAGACTAATAATCCAAAGTGTAATGAAAGTGATAAAAAACGGGTTACAGCCAACAGAGTGTTAAACTTGATGGGCTGTCCCAGATCAACCTTTAACAAAAAGTTGAGGAGGTTAAGATTTGCATTTGAGAAGAAGTAACAGTCAACGACCACTGACTATGAAAACTACAGTTCAGTTGGTGTGGAAGAAGTGTAGAACGCCGTAGCTACAAAGCGGTGTAGCAGCATTGTCCCAAAATCATCCACTGCCTCATGTGGTTACTTCTAGTGTGCACAGAGTACAGCAAACGGTGTAGTCTAGGCTTTTTATTAACAAATGCGACTAACGAAATGCCTCCACATGTTGTCGAAATTTTGAAATTTTGAACTTCTCACTTACAGCGAGGTAAGCACCTATTGAATAAATGTCAATAAAACAGTTCATCGAAAACAAAGCTTTTCTCATTACCGCTTCTATCCATTTTAATGGAAGTTAGTAAACCGTAATTTGGAGTTAATGTAAACATGATTACAAAAGGTTGTACATTGATGACACCAAAATGATTCTGAAAGCAATCAGTTATCTGTCTAAAAAGATGGATAAATTGACTACTTACGTTAGGAGCATATACATGGGTGCGAAAGACAGGTGCAGCGAAAACCCAGACACTTCAAGCTTCGCATCCCAATTGAAAACACCTGAGAAATGTGCAGTTTCGAAGCTGCTTTGGAGGAGTTCTTGTTTCGTGATCAGCTCGTAAGTTGTAACAGGTGTTTAAAAAAATTTAAGTGGTCAGATTGTCCGAGATCGTATGCAATGATATTCGGAAATCAATCAGAGCATGTCCAGCTTACGTGCTGAATCCGTAACTGACAATCATGGAACTAACAGTAAATTAGATATCAGTAATTACCGATTCTACAGGACGATTCAAAGTAAGTACACATCACAGCACTAATTTATTTGTAGATATTCTGTGTCAACAGTTCCGCGGTGCAACACAAGCCATGGATGTTGCAAACAAGCTTTCTTACACAACTCAAGAAATAAGGTAAATTGCCGTGGATGGCGATCCAAAGATAGGATTAGCCTAATGCACTTTATATATGTGACTATATACTGGTTTCTGTTTGTATATTAGTTTCTGATAAACGTTTATACTGAAATTATTTCTCGTCCATCTCATTTTCGGCTGGCTTCGCAAGTGTTAATAGACGTAACTATAAGCTTTTTATTCAGACTACATTATTGTTATACCGTTGGTACGTAATCAACCTCTTATATGGCAGTTACGATTCATAAGTTGGATGATTGCCATCATATTTGTTTGTTTACTAAAGAGTAACTTTTTTTCTTTCTACAGAACATTGTGAATGAAAGTTCAACATCTACATAACGTACTTCTCCAAAACACATGATTAATTATTAGGAGTTGAAAGAAGTTATGTATTAATGGATAATTTATACTTTACTAAAGTTTAACAAATATTTTCATGTGTGACGAATCAGCCTTTTAATTACAACAGTGCTGATTTATCGCGACATATCGGTTCCTATCACCGATTGTAGTTAAATTACTCTTGTACTGAGTTTACTGTGCTAAGTTAACAGGAAAAAATCGGAATACATGAATAGAAACTTTTGGATTGTTATTACTTAAGTTGCCAGGCTTTTCTCTGATATCAGTTGAAAATTGTGAACAAATATTTTGTTAACACAATAAATTTCGGGGAATTTCCCTGGAATATTAAGTGCCCAAAAGTTTCTATTTATGCATTCCATTTTTCCTTGTTAACTTTTCACAGTAAACGCAGTAGCAGAACAATTCAACTACAAATAGTAACAAGAACCGATCTGTCGCGATAAATCAGAATTGGGGAAATTTTTGGGTTTTTGTGCCATTTCCCCAAAATTTTCAACTGCGGCTTCCCCAAAATGTGTAAAAGTTTCGCTCAACTCGGGGGATCGGGATACCTCAAAAACCTTCGTTAATAACGTTAGGGATGTATGCAAATTATAACGATATCGCTTTTTGCAACATAAACCGTTTAACAATCAAACATTTGTTAGCCATACGCATATTCTGCCTCCACCTAGACGGCTACTAATGATAGATAGACAATACTTTTAAATGACCTCGGAGCGAAAACCTCTTGGCGTTCAACCTTCAGTAGATTTGTCTATAGCCTGAAAGCACTCAGTTTTGGAATCAGAAAATAAAGAGATGGTTGGCAGTCCCCTGCACAAGGTCGGACAGAGCATCTGATGCCCACTCTCCTGAGGCATGAAAAATCCGCTACTTTCGAATGGCCTTTAAAATAAAGCTTCAAATTTATTTATAATTGATTTCGATGTTTGGCTGTACGCAAAGCAGAAATAGAAAAGTAGCGCAAAAAAGCGTTACGATACCACAGTGTCGTTACTTTGAAAACAAAGACACCGCCAACTACAACCTTACGGATAGATCCCAACTACTAACATTTATATGCATTGTCAGCAGTAAAAGTGGGCTTTCTTAAGAAAGTCTATACAAAATAGGCTATTCACGGATTATTGATCTGTCAAGCCAAAAATGATGATACTTTTAGGTTATAATACTTCTTATCTTTCTGTACTTTGTAGGTGGTAAATTCAAAGCTCCTAGGTGAGTTGAGTAAGGTTATTCCGGATTGAATGCTTACTAGGCGGTTCTTCTTTGAGCACGTTTCAGAAGATTGATATCCCTTCTTAAGATATGGGGTATGATACAGATTTTTAAAAACTAGGTCTTCAGTAATTACTGAAAACAGTAAATGAATAACTAATCACGCAACCTGATTTTATGGGACGAAAGCTAGACACTGAGCATGCTTGATGTTTGAGAATATCAATGGTAGGAAGCACGTAGAACATCATATAGAGTGATTTTCATGCTGTTTATTGTGGTTAGGGATGGGATACTGAATAATTTAGAAAAAAAGTGGATAGAATATTACCTATATTCACAGCAAGCACTCTACATTTTCTGGTATTGAGAGAGGAGATTTTCAGCACCCTATAAGTACATCTTATCCAAGTTATATTAAGCAAATAAGATTTGAGTGAACTAGTATATCTCACCAAGTCTTAAATGATCTACATGTAGCATAGTTCACAAGACTAGAGCGGCAGACAAATAACCAGAAAAAGAGGTGGTTAGGGAGACGCGTCTTGTAGTACTCTTTATGTCACCAATAAACAATCAGATGTGACGGAGCATAAACTTTCGGCTTGTGATTTTTTCCATATTTAATCCAAAAGCCACTTCATCGGGTACATACTAATGCTCATTAACATCAGATTTACTCAAAGAATTTGATCATCAACGGTTTCAAATACCTCGGAAAAATCTCCGAGACCCAAGTGCACAGAGTACTCATGTCCAAATGGGAACTTCTAGCTAGTAGGTTTGTACAGCATAGCTGAAATCCGGTGACCCTAAAGTTACCGTGTAGGTAGTTTCACAACGATACTATAAGAATTCATTACTTGATTTCAAGGACAATCAGGAGTGCGGAAATTAGTCCGTAAGTAAAAGCTTTCAACTTCCTAGCGTCATGAAAAAACTCTTTTATCGGTCAACAACCCTCGACTAAAGAATATTTGAAGAAACTAGCAGAAAGAAGATGAATAGTGTCTAGATATTCTTTTATAAACAAAGGCTAGATTATATCCAAGACAGTAGATCCACATAAGTTCGGAAGGCTCAGAATCTTACCGCCTTTGAGAAGCTCAAGCTCACTTAGGTTAATATGAAAACGATGGAGCAGCAATCAGTAGATATAAGATGAGGAGGAGCAGAACGGAAATTCCTTACTTAGTTGCTCAAAAACATCACGATAAGAGATGTGAACTGTTAAAAATTCTAACGCAGAATACTCGATATTGTGCAAAGTTGACACGAGTATTTGGAGTTCGACAACACCTTAATCAGCAAATCTTTCTATGGTTGAAACATGCCCACCCAGTGTAATCAAAAGTCAAAAGCGAATAGGTTCGAAGATATCTATGATTGGCCATCGATAT